TTCAAATATGTATATGAAATCGAAATTGGGAAAAATCGATTGAGCAGCATAGATCCGTAGCTTAAGCGAAATGGGTCTTAAATAAATTAATAACAAAAAAAATTTGTTCGAGAAACTTGAAATCAATAGGTTAAATTACTATACGGAAATATAGACAAGATATTCGTTCGAAAAATGATTTCTTTATCAAAAAATTTCCACTTTCAAAAGGCTTAATTGCCATGATTAATTTCTCAACAGATATTCTGTTTCGAGATTATTCGTCAAAAATGAATGAAATAGCTCAGGACTCATTGTATTATCAATATAAAAAGATCAAGAATTATTTGAATTTGAATTTTTTTCTCAAATATTTCGAGATGGCAATCCTATTGATTTATACTATCGTAGAAGATTAAATCAAAAAGTTGTTGGATGACTGAAGAAGATCTCTACTACAATCCAACATTTATTATCGTTTTAATTGATATTTGTAGATCGGAATTATTGCCAACTAGTACTGATGAGTCTAAATGGCTCAAATCTGACATAAATCAATTGAAAGATGAACTTATACGTTTACGTACCGATGCTAGCAATAAATCATTATCGATGGAATCAACTGTTGCAATTTTACAAAATCGAATCGAACAAATTGATAATCGTTTCGATAGAATGATAACAGAAATGATATCAGTAAGTATCAACATTTTCTTACCTCATAACATCACTTTGTTTTTATTTTTATTTAGTTTCACGATGCACTCAATTGGATGATGAGAGCTATGGCACGTACCAACATGGACAGAGATCCTCCATTAATTGTACAAAAGCCACGTAAGCTTGATTCACACCTATGAATTGAATAGATACTCAATAATAGAATGAATAAATCTACGATAATTCAAAAAGTTTCATTTCTAGGCATACTTAATGTCTGATAGCATCGATATCGAGCTATGGTGAGCAGCTAGGCAGATACTCATAGTGATAATGCTACGTATTTGATATCGACTGTTCTTTTGAGAAGTTTGGGACTTTCGTATAAAAAGATTGTGAATAAATGCAATTCAAAATTACTAGGTTTCTTCTTTATTTCGGACTCTTCAAGAAGGTTCGACAAAGAAACAAGAAAATTAGCAAACATCAACTGGATACCTGGTAATTTCGAATTGGATTTATTCATAATGCTTTCATACAAAAGTCTCGAACCTTTAAAAAGAACAATCGATATCAAATACGTAATAGTGTCACTATGAATACCTGTCCAGCTGCTCACTACAACCCAATACTCGATAGCATCGGTATGGTGCATGCCTATACACTTCAGAATTTCCACCAGATTGATGATGTTCAAGTCATTCTCGTTTGGAGGATAAAAACTAATGACAACTATAGCAAATAAAATTTCAATAAAATTAGATTCGATTGATGGATTAAAGTATTAGAAGATTCTGCAATATCTATTTTTTTTTAATTTAATATTCTTATATAATATCTTTATTAGGAACATCTGTATCCAATCAAGAACGATCAGAGCCATCTGAAAACGTTCAGCGAAACCGAAAAACGAGCACATCACTTCTAACTTTTCAACAAACACAGAAGAGTAAACAAGTATTCCGGACAAACGATACTTATATCAATATATCGCAAGAATCGAACAATCAGGATGATATTTGAACTTTTTTTCGCTACTCATTCCCTATTCGATTGCGAACTTTAACTTGCTTGTATTCAAATTTATCGAGAAGATGAATTCAAAATTGAGGCAAAATTGAAGAAAAGCTAAAAATGACTTAAATCGAAACTAATGAGTTTGGATTCTGATGGCTGCCTTAGTGATTGAAGCATCCAATATTTTCTCTTGGTATTTTATGGTGGGATCACTCCACTTCAGGTTTATATCCATGCGCAAATGCTGCGATCTACTGGCTCAAAAATTAGGGTGCGGGTGGGGATTGGGTGTGGGTGGGTGTGGGTGTGGGGTGTGGGTGTGGGTG